CCCCGCCCCGGACACCCCCAACAGGCCGACCCTACTGGTAGGCAGCAAAACAGTCAGCGGTCGGAGTAGGCAGTCGGCGGGTATGCGACCCTGAACTGCGTACAATAATAAGACATGAAAGCACACACCCTCATCATGACTGTGTCGGACCTGATGCTCCCTTGTCCACTTTGAGGGCATTCTGACACTAGGACCTTTGGCCTCAGCTCCTGGACATGATTGTGGCCAGATACACATAAGGACACCCATAATTGTCGTCCGATAAATCCAGAAAAGTCCTAGTCTGCCTATAGTATTGAGAGAGGGAGAGAGCTAACAGCCACCTCGAGCGCATTCCGACACGAGAACCTTTTTGACTCAGCTCCGGGCGTGATTGTGGCCAGATGCATACAGGGCCCGCCATAATTGCTGTCAGATACATCCAGAAAAGTCCTAGTGTGCATACCATTCGAGAGAGGGACAGAGAGCTAACAGCTACCTCACAATCTATCCGGCCCTCCCTCTCTGTATTCAAACTACATTGAAGGTCAAATATAGCCATGATGAGGGTGCATTGTGTTGTCGTTTGTTTTTCAGAGGTGCGTTGTGTTGTTGTTGTTTTTTTCCCCTTTTCCTCCTTTTCCTTTTCAGAGGTGCGTTATGTAGGTAGCGTTGCATTGTAGGCGGCGAATCTTCTCGGTAACCTTCCAATTTCTGGCACCACTCATCATGAGTGTGTGCAACGTGAAAACTGGTTTTCACACATGCAGGACAACGTTGGGCCTTGATCGAAGTTCACGAAATCGTGAAATCGGGAACTTCTATCAAGGGTGTGTTGTGTCCTCGAACACATCCAAGCTAATTTTTGGTTCCAATGCAGTCACGATGAGATTGCGGGGAGTCGAGAAATTGAACCCCATCATGACTGTATGGAACGTCAATGTTAGCTGGATATGTTCAAGGACACAACACACCCCCGTCGAAGTTCGTGGACTTTCACAAGGGTGCGTTGAGCCCTTGAATGTTCCATTGCAGCTATGAGGTCAGATAGTGTATAGGTGACATGACAACACACACATACACAAAAAAAAGGCACACACACCAGGAAAGTAGCACGCAGCAGAGTGGACTGCACCTATGCGGTTTTTGTGCGCTGTGCCCGCTGGCGCGTGCGCATCTCAAATCTGCGCAAGGCACCGCACGGCGCACCGCATGGGTGCGAGTAAATAAGGAGAGTACGGAACTAGAACAGGGAGCACGGGGAGAGTCTTTCCAACATCAGTGAAACCCAGATTGCACAAAGAAGACTACCATCTTCACACGGATAAAACACCCGGTAATTACAGCCCTATTCGGCGCAACTTCCAGGCATTCTATTCGGGTGAAGATGGTAGCATGAAAAAGCTAGGTGACCTGGGTGGGTGCCAGGCCGGGCATTCTATTTGGGGGCACACATAAGAACACACATGAGATATGAACTAAAAGATAGTCTCTGCCGATCAACTCTATTACACAAACTTGTCTTTCGACACGCTGAGCAGCTATGGCTGCCGGCCAATCCACATCACTCAAAGGTTTTCTCTCTCTCTCTCTCTCTCTCTCTCTCTCTCTCTCTCTCTCTCTCTCTCTCTCTCTCTCTCTCTCTCTCTCTCTCTCTCTCTCTCTCTCTCTCTCTCTCTCTCTCTCACACACACACACACACACACACACGCACGCACAGCATCACGTTCTCTCTCAATACCTCTTGAAGTCTCTCTCTCTTGACCTAGCTATCCCTATGGGCGCCCAGCGCCGTCAACTACTTCCTGCAGCAGCGCATACAACAAATCCCAAAATAGCTTGGCAGCACTTCCCTTTGATCATGCAAGCGAAAATGTTTTTGATGACTTCAAACTGGACTTCTGTACCTGACATTCCGCTTCCAGACTTCCACTACCAGCTATGGGACGGCCATTTTTGCCTGTGTTTGCCGCTTCAGGAAGTTCGCTGACTTTCCTGAGACTTTGCTGCTGACTGGACCAACTGACACAAAAAGGGACTACAGATTTCTACCGACTTGTTCCTATGCCTACTGGTGGTACATGTCGGAATTCTACCTCTGAATACCTCTCGAAGTCTCTCTCACTTGACCTAGCTATCGCTATGGGTGCCCAGCGCCGTCAACTACTTCCTGCAGCAGCGTATACAATGAATCCCAAAACTGATCATGCAAGCGAATATGTTTTTTATGATTTCAAGCTGGACTTTTGTACCTGATGTTTCGCTTCCGGACTTCCTGTACCAGTTATGGGACGGCCATTTTTGCTATGTCCGTCGCTTCAGGAACTTCGCTGACTTTCCTGGGACTTTGCTGCTGACTGGTCCAACTGACACAAAAGGGGAATACAGATTTGTACCGACTTTTTTCCTATGCCTACTGGTGGTACCTGTCGGAATTCTACCTATGACGGCCTACTGCCCTACTAGTACTGGCCCTGATCTGGGGCACAGGAATATGGTATACACCACCATGTCTAGGACTGGATCTGGGACTTGGGAGTGGAGCTGGGACTCGGACCAGGGCGGCAACTGTGCAATCCTCTGATTCCCGCCAGCCTAGTTTCAAGGTCCACTGAGAAAGGCTAGAATTTTCTTGACCAGCCAGAACTTCTTCTAGCCTGCTCGTAGTGGGATACTATCCTGGGAGCAGTCTCAGCAAGTTCATCTCTTGGTAGCCATCTGTCTTCCTCTGAGCATCAATAGTAGTACTGCTTCTCTGCCCCCACCTCCTTCCTAATCTAAGATATGCTTCATAAATACCATCCTCTCTCTCTCTCTCTC